CCCATCTGCAGAAAAAAATGCCCTCCATGGAACTGGTCCCTGGTGCCCAAAAGGTTAGGGACTCCTGATTTAGGTGACAGTAGAGGAATCTGGTACATGAACAGCAATGGAAAAGCAGTGAAATCATATTTGCATCCAGTCAGTTACATTTTTATAGATTTAAAATTGCAATTAATTCAACCCAAAATACTAGTTCATACCTGATGGGCACCCACACATTTTTCAGGAAAGAATTGGTGGGGTAATATAACTTATTAACTGTAAAATCATTAAATATTTCACATACCATAGCTGTTGTGTAAAATGTAACTTCTTAATCTTTAACAAAATATGTTCCTTTGAGATGATTGTGGATTAGAAGTAAGAAGATGTAGGGTTGAAGTACAGCCACCTAGGAAACAGATGGCAAAAGGCCAGATGGCTGGCTGGGATACAACAGAAGCATAAGGCAAGAGAGAAACAGCTTAATGGGAAGAAAGAAAGAAGGAGGTTTAATGAACACCATTGTCCAAGAAGGAGTTGAGGAACTGGCTTCTTTGTGCCTGAGTTAAAGTGATGCTGGCTGATTTGTGTTATTTAAGTCCAGCCAATGTACTTAAATTACAATATCCTAGATAATGTATGGACCCAAGCAATATAGTTAACAGATTAAACTGTGGTTTAGTGAACTATACATTAGCATTTTATGCAAACACCATGACAGTAGCACTTCTGGGATTAGGATGTAGCAAGAGTGATGCTGCCTATTTGTTTCTTATATGCCTTGCTTTCTGGCTGAGAAATCCTGAATGCTGTTTCAATTATTGCTGGTTGCCCAAAACTTCCATGGATACACATGTTGATGTCAAACATGGCTGTAGGGTTTAGGACTGTTTTTAAAAGACTAAACTCCCTAATGTTTATTTTCTGCAGATATTGGCTTCTTTACATTTTGGGCATGTTTGGGCAAGAAGCTTTCTTGTGGTTAACTGAATAATGGTTTGCTTAATTATAGGTTACTTAACCATGAGTTAACTAACTGGCCTGGGTTTGCACAATACACTGAAGTACATACAAACCATCCAAACAGAATTTCCACAGTTCATTAGGCTACCATATGTTTAGCCAGTTTATGGTTCAGTGTGTCACGCAAACCCATTTCTAATCTGGTATTTATTGATATTGGCAAGACCATTCAAATCCAAGAACAGCCCTACTGGATCAGGCCAAGATCAATCTGACTCCAGTATTTTGTTTCTTATATGCCAACAAAATACTTCTGTTGCCAACTCACTATAGCCAACTCAACGGAGGACAACTCACTATGGCCAACTTGCTGGTGGAACAACTTGCCGTGTGGCAATCAACCATTCAATTTAATTATTTGAAAAAATTGAAAACTTATTTTAATTTTTGTCATTCACATTTCATTTTGTCCCTTCTTTTGCATCTTTAATGATTCTATTCTACCATTTCCTCAATATTAGTGTAATTGTTATCCCATGGCAAGTTATCTCGTGGCAACTTGGCCATGGCAAGTTAGTAGTTGTGGCAAGTTATCCTAGACCATATGAAGCTAGATCTGGTTCCTCATCACCATTCCCCTCAGGTTCTTATTCAGACAGACAAGACTGTCTTCATGCTTGGAACCCATAGTATATTCGAGTAAATTTCGCAGTTAAAAAACCACTCTTGAAATACTTTTGCTTATGAAAACAAAACCCAAATGACAATATTTGGAATTACAGGTTTTGCTGGCACTGTTGAGTTAATGAGGCAGCACAGTGGTTTTCAGAGTGTAAAGTACATCTCACTCCTACCTAACCCTTTAGAAAGAAATTACATTCATGCACTCCATGAATTGTGATAGATGTTTAGTTCTTTGAAATCATTGTACGCAAATTAGACTTCATTGCCGCATGGCAAAAAGCTCATTACTACAATAATCTTTGACTTTAGCTTTGTAGGCTCCAAGGTCTAGCTTAAATGTCCAACAGAGGGGAAAATAGGTTTATTTCTGGTTCTAGAGTACATTTCCTTTTGGCCACTGAAGTATTATCAAAAGATTTAACCCTCTGGCAGGAACAAAGCTTAAGGCAATTCTACACATGCCCCTGAACAAATGACTTGAATGAGGCTCTCAAATTTTGCAACTGGGGAAAAAGATGAATCACAGAAATGAGCAAGCCTACCAAAAGTCCCAGTGAATATATTATCACTGTGCAACCTTGAAAGTGAAATGAAAAACTAGAGCCTTGCCTTCTGTTGAATCTATCTATGAGATTTAATTAAGTAATATTCATTTGTACGTATAAGAAATAGAAATTATATCCCACCTTTCTCCTAGACATTTCCTACTCAGACACAAAATCAAACGTTTAACCTCTGAAGGAAAATTGGTAGAACTGTGTCTAGGGCAGTATTTCTCAACCTTGGCAACTGTAGGATGTGTAGGACTTCAACTCACCCCATTCCTAAGAGGTCTGTAAGGGGCATGCATAAGTGCACAATCCTGCCTACCGTCCATTTATTCCTACCTATTTCCCGTATTCTTACCCATGTTTATACTTATACCTATTATCTTGTAAGTGATTGACAAATCAAATAAATAAATAAATAAACTCTATCCAGCATGGAATTCTGATTGTTGAAGTCCACACTTCTTAAAAGTTGCCAAGGTTGAGAAACACTGGCTACCCTTTCTAGGCTGCAAAAAATGGGATAACCACTAGATGGCAGCAAAGAAATACAGGAAACTCTCTATGCTACCATCTAAGGCTCATTTCTGCAGTCCAAGTAAGGTAGGCCTTGCTGTGATGTTTACGGTGAAAGAACAAGTAAGATAACTTTGCCAAATACTATTATTCTCTCAGCATTTCCGCATGAGGATTCTGCACCCATTCCAAAAACAGTCCAGACCTTTGTGACCCTATTGTGTAGGTGGTAGCTGAGTGTGCTTTATTGCTGGCTCACCGCCATTGTGTTTGAATCGAATTGCAGTGCTTTGAAATTCTGCCTTTGTGGGCAATCTTATTTCCCCATTGGCAGGAGCTCCTTCTTATTTCACTCCCTGCATGTTTAGCTGAAGGCAACTATTACTTTCTCTCAATAGAATTTCAGTTTAGAATATATGTTAAGGGAACTCCCATTTCAAAACAGTCACTAGAGGGGGAAAAAGCCATTAGTAGCATTGCTATTCCCTCATAAACAGGAGGAGAAGACGGATACAATTCTTCAATTTCACTTCTGCTTGTTTCAAAAATATTCTGCTATATTCAACCCCCTCAATCCTGCCATTGTAGCCAACCATGTTTCAAGCTGCTGTAAAATATGCCTACTTGAAAAAAAAAAGCTGACAGGCTATCAGTCTTTGTAGTGGCTCTTAAATGGAAAAAGGAATCACACCTCTGCAGCTGAGTAAATGTTACTCACAGCAATCATAGTAAACTTTTGATTTAACAGACAAATGAGGCTAAAGGGAGTGTTCATTAAATCAGGATGTCTGTTAAATACAAATAAGGTTTTATGCATGTATATTTAATATGTTTTGTATAGCTTATGCATGAATAAAATGTTAAATGGAATTTTATGGGTGTTCAAAATGGCAAACCAGATTTTACATATGCTCAAAAACATGAAAAGTTTTCTCCATTGCACCCAAAGCCCATTAATCAAAAATCTATTAAGTTTACCCTATTTGTAGTTTTTGTCAAGCAGTCAAAAAAACCCAACAACCTATGTATGTAATTACAGTGTGTGTAAGAGAGCATGTATGAAAAGTACTTATTCACTTTGTTTCGCATTTACGTTGAATGAAGTGGTGTAAGGGAACATATTGCTACTCAGATGGTTGGGCACCGAAAATCTTTGTACTATCCTATTTGTTACATAACAGTAGATCAATGTTTTTCAACCATGGCTTTACAACTTTAAGTTGTATGGATTCAGGGATGGGATTCAAAAATCCCAACAACCAGTTCTCTGCCCAGTTGTTGGGTAGGCGTGGCCTACCGGAACTTGCGGGAGGGCCATTTTTCACCTTTCCCAGAGCCCAGAGGCTTCCCTCGGGCCTCTGGGAGGGCAAAAACAGCCTCCCCTGGGGTTCAGAGCCCCCCCCCCGGAAGCCGAAAACAGGTCCATTTCCAGACTTCTGGAACTTCTGGGAGGGCTGTTTTTCGCCCTCCCAGAGCCTCCGCGCAGACCCTGCACTTACCTGCATCCAAAATGGGCCATGTGGAGACTCCTGGGAGGGGCGGAGTAGGGTGGGTGGGGCCAGCCGTTTGGTTCAACTACCAATTCGGAGAACCAGATGTAAATTTAACATCCAGTTCGCCCGAACCAGCCTGAACCGGCTGAATCCCATCCCTGTATGGATAACAATTCCCAAAATTCTGTACATTGAAGTCCAGACAGCTTAAAGTAGTCAAGGTTGAAAAACACTGAGGTAGATGACTGTGTTCTGGTAGTCCCTGCCTGTACTCAGCATTTCAAGATTGGTCAAAGTTAAGATGATCATGGGTTAGCTTGAAATCGCTTTTCTGTTTCAAGGTTTGCACAGTTCATTGTGAAATAGTAATTGGGGTTATGTTGTAAGATAGTAATTGTAAAATGTTGTAAATATTTATTAAACACATGATCATTAGTACAATACTTTCTTAAAACAGTTTCCCCCCCGTTTCTTTTATCTGTTATTTTACCACATGAACTAGCTGATTTTTTTACAGAAATTTTCAGTAGACTTATTGTGATATATGAAACAATGAATTATATAAATGTATTGTGAAATTATTACACTAAGGCGCACCTCCTCTCAAATAGCCACAAACTTGGGCCAAAATTGTGCTATACGATTTTTAACCTGTTAAAACATATCACATGAACATAGACATTACTTTTGCAAAATGTCCAGCCTGAAATGACTGATCAGTTTGGGATTTGAATGGAATGGAAGATCAGATCATTCTTTTCTCCCTGAGGCATTCAAAAACTAAAAGAAAAAGTACTACTTCAAAAATGTTGTAAATATTTATTATACACATGATCATTAGTACAATACTTTCTTAAAACAGTTTCCCCCCAGTTTCTTTTATCTGTTATTTTACCACATGAACTAGCTGATTTTTTTACAGAAATTTTCAGTAGACTTATTGTGATATATGAAACAATGAATTATATAAATGTATTGTAAAATTATTAAGATGAGACAGTTCTCCGATCCAACTTAATACAGCTTTTCTTTAAGTACTATATACTTTATTTCATTTAGAAACGATTATGATTCTCCTTTCTTGGGTTTTGAGTAGCAGACAAATCTACAGTCAGAATTTGTCAGTAGCAGCATCTGATCACATTTCTGCATCTCTAATATACAGGATTTGCTGCTTCTGTCTCTCAGTTTGTCATGACAGAGCTCGTTACCTGATAGTTACTGAAATCAGCACCAGGATGCTCCTTCTTCAACTTGGATCATAGCATCACGTATCAGGAACATTTTCTGTGCTGCTTTGAGCTTGCCATACATTGACATCTTCTGCTTAAATATTTTAAGGCTGTTTGATCAATGCTTGGCAGGTGTCTAAAATAAAATGTTACCTACTGTGTTAGGAAATCACATTCTAATCTCATTTTGCAGCTATGCTGAGCCATAATACATGGGAATGGCAGATCTATTTTTGAATCAAGTGGCAATTGTCACCTGAGATATACAGTAAGAAGTAGCTTGACTCCCTCCTGCAGATATAGTGCTCATGACAATTAAGTCCCACCCAATTCAGGGGGATTCTTGGGTTAACATATTGATTTAGCTAGGATTAAGTCTGGCATTTTTCACTGATCATTATTTATATTGTCCAGTAAATGACATGGTATCATGAAGTTAACATTCAGTTAACATCTTTGTAGAATGAATAGGACTTGTGTGATGACCACTAAATGATCTCATACCATTAGCTAACAGTCTATAATAATTTCAAACTAAAATCATTATTAGGGTAGCTAAGTTGAAACATGTTGGGCTTTAAATCACACCTTTTAAACACTTGGTGGCTTCATTCCTTTCTTTGCCTTTAGCTGGTACTTAACTAATATTAATTCTAGGTAGTTAATAATGCAGACAATTCTTCTGAAGGCAACAAGCATAATCCAGTATATTCTTGTAGGTAAAATGATGTATTCGGAATTAAAATTAGTTTTTCCTCTATTAAATTCAAAATATCAGTGGGATTGTTTTTCAATTCACTCTTTTTCTGTCCTTGTGCTTCATACAAAAACCCAACAGGATTAATGTACCTAACTTTCGTAATTCACATCCATGAATATTATGCTGTTCCAGGCTCACACATTCTGTAATACTTTAGACTATTGCATTATCTAATAATTCCTTGTCATTAATCAGCCCAAGGCGTTTTTTGATCAATGTTGCAATCAGTTGCTGAGGTCGTCGCTGATACTCAGCTAGAACTTCATGGGAGGCTTTGATCTGATCTCCTTCAAGACGATTAAGGAGAGTCACACAGATTACTGCAGCTTGAAAGCAGGGGAAAACGGAGGGGAAAAAAGTCAACTTTGTTTTTCTAACAGCTATGATCATAGTCAGTATAAATTTTACTGCAAGTGCTATAGTAGAATTTTACTAAACAACTTTCAAATTAAGGGATAACTGTTGTAGAACTACAGTATAAAAACACTGCTAGGCCTGCCAAATAGGTATTTACTGTACTTCAAAAGGAAAACCAAATCATTACATTGCTACCTTTTAAAACACCTGTATGGCTCTTAAAAACACATGTTGTTTTTACTCAGTTTAAAGCAGGTGCATAACTGGAGCCCCCAACAAATTCTTCAAAACTCAACAAAAATAATAAGAGTGTTGGTAGGGAAGTTTTAAAACCCCTCCAAGAGTTTGGAGGCTCCCATGGCAAGCTTTACTGCATCGACAGTATCTGTGATTGGAATGTTTTAAGAGACTAAAATAAACCATGGAGAAAAATAGTACTTAAACTTTCCCCATAAGTCACGTTCTTGGTCAGAACTGCCCATGTATGTATATAAAAATATACAGTACTGTGAGAAATAAGAATAGATTTTATGAAAATAGAAATATCATGTATAATAAACACTGTTGTTGAGTGTCCTAAGTTATTTGCCACAGTAGAGCAAGGGTGGGCAACTTTTGAGGGGTCAGCAGCTGCACTCAATATTTTTGGGGAGGAAAGGGTTTCAAAGTGGGTAGAACTGCACCATCCCATATGGGAATGAAAGTGGATCTGGAGGGGGTGCTTTGATTTGTAACTCTGAGGTGCTTAGTTTTAGTTCAGATTTTACACGATAGCTTTCCTCTAACTCAGCTCAAAATGAAAGGATATTACTCTCTGTTTTCAGCAGCATTTTAAATGAAAACAGTTGTACACTGCCCTGAATGCCAGCACCAATGGAGAACCCTTTGCAGTTTCTAAAAAGATGAAACAAAATGCATAAACATATGCAAGCGCAGCACACACACAACACACACAGAGAGTGGAAACTTTTCTCAGGCTGACTTGAAAAGCTTTGGTTCTGCTAAGACTGCTATTTTTCCCATCCTCCATTGTCCATCCCACACAGTCCCCAAGAACCAATTTAAAACATCCCTGTCACCAGGAGCAGTTTTTGTCTGTAAAAGCATAGCTTTTGCACCTGCATTTTCAGCCCCCAAATTATTGTAGTTCTCCATCAAACCAAGCAGTAGAAATGGCATAAAATGCTGCTTAGCATTTGAGGTGTCAGCAATACAATTTTAGACAGCAATCTGCTAGGACTGAATTGCCTTTCATGCCAAAGAGACCTCCTATTTTACAAAACTTAAATGGGAGTGATACTCAGGGATATTGTGGGAAATACTGCAGAAACAGCTGGTTCCAAGCCCACTTTTCCAGTGTCACTTTGAGTTGGGGCCTAGACAGCTGACATCAAGCAAAGGAGAAAGGATCCAACATGCATACATACAATAGCAATAGCACTTAGAGTTATATACCACTTCTTCACAGTGCTTTACAACCCTCTCTAAATGGGTTTACAGAGTCAGTATGTTGGCCCCCTCCCAAACAATCTGGGTCCTCATTTTACCAGCCTCGGAAAGGATGGAAGGCTGAGTCAATCTTATTTATTTTATTTTATTTTATTTATTTGATTTGCCAATTGTTTACAAGATAATAAGTATAAATGTATACATAGTTGTGAATACATGAAATGGTTACATACAAGAAAAATAAAAGAATAGGAGAAACAATAGGACAGGGACGGTAGGCACGTTGGTGCGCTTATGCACGCCCCCTATCTTGACCCCTGTCAGGATCTAACTCCTGGCAGCAAGCTGCATTTGTCTGCAATACTGCATGCTAATCACTGCTCCAGTAAGTATATATGTGGATGTCAATGCAGCACATTAACTCTGTCAATCTGATGGTTATATTGCAATTAAATAGCTGATGCCTTTGTAGGAGATTGAGAATGAGTCTCAGGTAAGAAATAGTAACACAGGACAGTGAAGTGAAAAAGTGGACAAGTGTTTGGCTTGGCTTACTGTGAGCTCAGCCATTATGATTTGTAAATTATGAATTTATGACTTAGCATATTGCCTGAACTCAGTTGCTCATGGCTTAATGAATCATCTAAGTGTAAGCCATGCTATTTTTCTTTTCTTCACCTTTTCTGAGAGTCTTCACAAAAGAAATGGAGAATGCCTCTAATGAGGTAGACTGAGGTAATTACCCCACCCAGTCTCCTTCTTTTCCGATGAAGCCTCAGTATATGAAGCTCCAGCACCAATCCAGCTATCTTTAGGATATACTGGCCATTTAGGTTGAAGAGTCTTACGCTCTCCATAGGAGACTTCTCATCACAGGAGGAAGGAGAGCAAAATGAAGCCCTACTAGAGAGTCCAGGTGATGAAGAATAGCATGAATCATAGAGCCGAACTGGGCCTCATTGGTCCCGATTCTAGTCCTGAAGAATTCTAAATTCTAAGCAGAGACTCTCGGTTGCCCAAGTAAAGAAACAGCACCTGCCTTAATGAGCATCATCTCCATACAGTGGAAGGAAAATCAGGCAAACAGAGAAGCTGCAGAGAGATTAGCCTTAGGCAGGATGATCTTCTCAGGTTGTTTTTTTAAGTAACTGGGCTCTGATAAACAGAGCTAATGAGTGCAGGATATTTCCAGTATTTAAGCCCTGCCTGAGGGTACTCAAATACTAGAATAATTTCTCTGATTTTGTGAACAAAGTTCCTCGGAGAACTTGGATTCCTCACCAGACTGGCTTTCTCTGCTTTATCCACCCAGTAATAAACTTTAGTTTATTGATCTCAGACAGGACTGGATTTGTAGGTGTGATTTCAGCTGTAAGCACCTCTGCCAATTTATGATCCTGGAGTAATAATAACTTTGTTAAAGCCATATGGGTTTGGTAAGGAAAACAAAATAGATTGAATAAAAACCAAATGCTTTATGCTGGATCACAACATTTCTTATGGGGTTTTTCTAATGTAGCAGTACGGCTAAAATATTATACAATATTATTTACTGTATAATATGTTATGTTTTAATAATATCTAGATTTTTTCTCTCTAGATATCTTTGCTCTAGTGATCATTTAGATATGATAGCTTTACTATGTACCTTTGTAAGTGCTTTATACAATGTGACCTAACACTGTATCTCCAGATTTGCAAAAGTATTGCAGTGTGTGGCTGAATTACACATGTAAAAACATAGTTTGTTCTTCAAATTATAAGTAGCAAGTGGACAACATATCTGATCCAAGGATGTGTGAATCAATACCTTTCAACTGGAACACTTTTTTTTCCATTTCTGAATAGTGTAGCAAAACTAAACAGTAGTAGTGCATCATTTTCCTCTTACAGCTTTTGGCAGCATCCAGAGAATTACAGAAAAAGTACTGAAATCATTACTTTCACTTACCTGTTTTATTATGCCAGAAAACAAATTTAAACTTGTTGAATTATTTTCTTATCAAATTACCAATTGGTAATGAGTAATACATATAATGAACCATATTTTTTTAAAAAAAACTTCGGACAGCGCTGGCTCTTCGGCTTTGTAATAGAGATGAGCACCGCCCCCTAGAGCTAAAAACGACTAGCACGTGTGTGGGAGGGGAACCTTTACCTTAAACCAGAGAGATGACAAGGAGCTGACTGGGTGCAGAGGAGCCAGTAAGAAAGGCCATGAGAGTCTAAGTAATCAGAGGTGAGATTTTTGGAAGATTTTCTGTGGCTGAGCAACCTTGCCAAGGGAAAATTTGGACATGAGTATAACTATGTAGTTGAAAATGCACTGCCTCCTTAAGTAAGCTGCCAAGGTGCCTGAAGGCAATGCCGAAGAAGCTTCTGGACCTCAAGAGTTCACCCCTCTGAGTTACTATTGTGTAAGGTTACTATCTGTGTAAAATTGGCTGTATAACTAAAATGGTTATTTTCCTGCAAGTAATAGTGCACAGATGTTCTCAGCTTTGGTCCCTCATATAGGAAGATAAAGTCATGTTACCTGCTCATAAATAGAAATACCTCAGTTTGGCAGTAGGCTAGGTTGAAAGGCCTTAGATAGGAGATAGAAAAGGCCCCACTTGAGTCCCAGTGGCTGGGAAGACCGCAAAGAAGAGTTTCTTAAACTCAAAAGACTAGTCTCTCTCTCTCCTGAAACTAAAACAAAAAGCAGGACTACCCAGGGGAGGAGAACCTCCCAGAAGTCCAGGGGTGGGATTCAAATTTTTTAACAATCGGTTCTGTGGGCGTGGCTTGGTGGTCATGTGACTGGTGGACATGGCTTGGTGGTCACATTGGCTGGGCGTGGCCAACTCAATATCACTCACATCGAGGCACGAATCTCCTTGCCTGGCCTCTCATGACTGTGGGGATGCTACAACAGTCGTAAGTGTGAAAAGTGGTCATAAGTCACTTTTTTCAGTGCCATTCTAACTTTGAATGGTCACTCCACACAAGCAAAGTACCAGCAAAGGAGGGGGAAAAAACTCCAGAGAAGTTCCTGAGACAGGAAATCTAGTCCTGCCAAGAACGTAATAAGGGTTAACGGAGAGGCAGTTTCTGTAAGCAACACCAGAATGTTTCCTTCCTGCCTTCCTTACAGGATTAGGCCAGTAATTTCTTCTAACAACCGGTTCTCCGAACTGCTTAGAATGTTAACAACCGGTTCTAGCGAATAGATGCCAACTGGTAGAATCCCACCCCTGCAGAAGTCCTCTGACTTACCTTTCAGGCCACAAAGCCTGCACATCGCAGCAAATACTGTGGATTCCATTTCTATGTTTCTCACGCCGGCATTGTATGCTCTTTTTAAATACTCTAGCTTTTTTTCATTAGAGAAGCAGCACAAGGCTCCATCTAACCGTCCTTGGCCTTAAAAGGGAAAGGGAAAGAGGAAAATATCAGTGTGTTATGCTTTCGTGCAGCCTGACTTCCACAGCATTGGCTTTTGCAGAGAGAATGCTTTCTTCTGAAAGCCTAAAGGTAACTTTACTGACAGCCTACTTATATAAAAAAAGAAACTCCCATTAAAAAAAAATCAACTTTAATAACCCGCTGTTTGAAATACTAATAACTTATCCGCCACATAGTTTTTAACACTTCTGTAAAATGCGAGAAGTGACTGACAGAATAGAATACATAAAAAGAGGGAATGTAAAAAATGCCTTCAACGGTGAAGATAATAAATTAAGGCAAATGTGTTCTTTATCGCTCTGTGCTGAGGAAAGCTGCAGAAGCCAATAATGAAAGCAGCACTAGTCCTGCAGAAAAAGACACAGCGGCATATTTGAACCTCCTGCTGGAAGTTCTTTGTAAAGCAGAAAGCTCACAAAACACAACCTCCGGATGCTTTTACTACTTGCTGCCCTGAAAAAAAAAATGTCACACTTTACAATGGCTGGCATTTAATTGGGAGAAGGAAAAAAAAACCAGGTTACTATAACACCTTCATTACTGTCCAAACCGCTTTCCATTTGGATAAGTGTCACCTAGCTAGCATGTCTAGGCAAATGGGTGCTTTTGTTGGTGATATTTAATGTTCATTTAATGTTGATTCTTCTTACTAGAGCGTCCAAATTCTCAGGGCCCCAAACACCAACTATTGGCCAGTCTCTCTCTGCAAGTTATTTGCATTACGTTTACCCCCCGCAGAGAAGGAAGGAGGGAACACCTGGATGGAAGAGGAAAACTCAGTTCCAAACACAACCCACATTTCTGTAAATCAGTCTGATTAACCCTAAATGGAACATTCTAGAAATCTGCATCTTTGAGTGTGATGAAGACTTCCTTATGGGATGAACATAGTTTGCAAATCAATCTCTTTAATTACTGCTTTAAACCAGTTGCTGATCTCTTTTTATCTCTTGGTGTTTTTTTTAACCCTACCCTGCAGCAGAACCAACCTATTACAAGCTATTCCATTGCAATTTTGTTTCTGTAGGTGAAGCCTCTAATCTGGCTTTCATGAGAGGTGGCCCAAACACAGATTGGCCAGCCACAGACTCCACAGATGATGACTTCTCTCCATTTCTTCTGTTTTATCCATTTTGCAAACAGCACTTAATTGTCTCCAGAGAAAAGGTCCTGGGGTATGAGAGGCACTAATGGGTACTTATGTAAATGCCAGACTTCTTGACATTTTTCTTAGGGGAAGGTAATTTGGGAAGCTATAATCCTGTCACAGAAGGTAGCTGGCATGTAATCCAGCTGTTAACATGATGATATGATGATTGACTGGAGGCTCTTTTATTTTAACTGTTTTCTATGAAATGCTTGCATCTTTTACTCAATGAACTGGCACTGTTGAGGATGCAAATCAAGAACATTTTAGAGTTTCTTAAATGTCATAAAGGAGATGGGAAGCTGGATTAATATTGCAGTGAATTAAAAATATAGCAAAAATACTAGGCATCGGTCCCTAGGATAAACAGCAGATGTGCTAATTTAAAAAAAAGTCATTTGAAGAATTTAAGAATCCTGAGATTTAAAAAAAAGGCTTTGCTTGGCATCTGAAGCAAAAAATGCCTTGCCTGCACTCCTATAGCTATATGAATCCCTGTAAAGTTTTTGGTTCATCTCTGAGAGTCTTCCAAAGTTGCCACTAAATAACACTATTTAATATGATGGCAGTGAAAGTTAGACTTTGAAGAAACAGGCTAGGAAGAATATTGATGGCTTTTTTAAAAAAAGCTTTGGTGTTGGAGAAGACTCCTGAGAATATCACAACACTTAGCAAAGAAAAAAATAAATAAACATATCAAAACAAATCAACGCAGAGTTCTCACTTGAGGCACAAACGACAGGCTGAAATCATTCTACTTCAGACACGTTATTTGAACACCGAGCTCTCTACAGAAAGTCTAAAGTTCTAATGCTGGGAAAGGCGAAGGAAGGAAGGGTAGGAAGTTAGCACCTACCCCTCTCCTAGAAAAATGAAATATCCTAGGAAATATTAAAAAGGCAGAATATTTCCCCTCAAAAGAGAAGTAGAACTCAGAAGCAGAAACTCACCTCAGAAGCAGAAGCTCACCCCCACCTTTGTTAATGGGCAGGCCATTAAGGCCTGGGCCAGAATATTCTACATAACAAAGCCCTCTACCCATCTCACCACCTGGCCTGGGAAGATTGCATCAGCCAGCACTCAGGTGAAACCATGTGGTCCAGACAGACAAAGCCTACAAAGTTAGCTAAGACCCCCGCCTCTGGGCGTCTGACAGCCAATGGAATACATTTCTTGCACGGGAATAGGAAACACTAAGGTGGGGTCCACCAGAGGGTGTATAAGGGTCTCTCAGCATCTTGGCTCACCCTTCTCTTTTCACCTTGAAGCATGTGATCATCCTTTTCACTTTGGAGCTCCAAGCCATGTGGGCCTGTCCACCATTAAACCATCTTTCCAAACAGCCTCCATGTTTCCAGTGTCTTTTTCCCCACTTGGAACTGAACCCAGAAGGATATTTCTCCCAACAGAAGGAAGGAAGGAAGGAAGGAAGGAAGGAAGGAAGGAAGGAAGGAAGGAAGGAAGGAAGGGAGGGAGGGCACAAGGACAACTGGCAACAAGGTGGGTGGACTCAGGTACAGTTAAGTACACCATTGGAGGGGGTATGAAATGCCAGTCTGGGGACAGATTGTCATGGATTGATCTAGCTATGTGGTTTCTAACTTCAATCCATCCATCAATCAACATGGTACTCTAACAGTTGACAACAATGAGCTGGCACAAAATCAATGTGATGGAGGGGGAAATCATTGAATACACAACGAACATTTTAACTGTGTTGAATTAAATATTCTAAGTGCATCAAATTTAGTTTTTTATTTTTCCCATCCATTTTTTGGGGGGGAGGGGTCTGGCCTCTTCACTTATTAGACGACAGCTCTTAGACCACCATTCTCAAAAGCGCTGGTATAAATTATCAGTATTAAGGAATGTTAAAAGGTCCAATTCTGCAATATCTCTAGATTTACTGCTTTGCTGTCGCTGAAGTAATTTCCTTGATAGAAAAGTGGGTAAATGTGACAGATATCTCAGGTGACTTAGCTCTGAAATTCTTCAGGAAAAAAAATGTTCCACTTCTCTCTTACAACTTTATTCTCTACTTTCTAGTGACCATTTTAGGGTTTCAGTCAAGAAATGAAATAATAATTTTGTTTGGTTTTTGTTTTATTTTTTTGGTGTGGTAACTTGTCTTATTTATCAGTGAAACTCCATGGTGCAAAACTAAACTGAAGTTTAATTGTTGTAATTGTCTTTAAAATGACAAGACATATAATTAAAATAGAACCAAAGTATTGATGCAGAGTTGCATTTTTCTTTACTGGCTCTATATTTATTAACGAATCCTATAAAATGATAAAATGCTACCATTTTATTGCCCTCAAAATTAACAAAAGCTTATTTTTAAGAGCAACGGAAGATAGACCACTAAAAATGGGGATCCAATAATATTAGTGGGATAATTACCACTAATGATGAAGCCAAATGGATTAGGAAAGTTAAGATTATGCTTAATGATGCTTATTCCTGGTAAAATAATTGCAATCAATATTTTTACTTATCTGGAAGCAAGTTCCATTGAATTTAGTTCTGAGTACTATGGATATGGGAAGAGGTTTTAGCGTCAAATTAAAATCAAATATCTTTATTACGGTCCTTGATCAGTCTTTACAATAAAAAAGAAAAGTAGTTTGATACAACAATTTGTTACTGGGAAAGGAGGAAAAACTAACAGGATAACAAAATAACATATCTAATTAAAAGTTTTGTGCAGTTATGTAACTTGGTGAAGGTATTTGGCCACCCGATATGTGAGTGTGAGATTAGCATCCCTTAAAAATAGTAAAAATAAAATGTATCAGTGTGTCCCACATATCTGGAAATGATTGGGGTGATCAGAACACGTCTTGGGGCTTCATAAAAGGACACTGTATGAGGACATGATTGTGAGAGAGGTCAAGAGCAGCGTCTCTGGAAATCAGAGTGCCATGAAACCCTCCCAATAGCAGAACTGATGGGAGAGGAGGCTTTAGCATAAGCATATTTATTTACTTCAAATTCATTAAAGAAACAGAGATCAAAGTGATGCTTCCCCCAAACTGGCTAGCTACTATAAAGTTTTCATATTTTCAATTTTCAGTTAAAAACATGTCACGAGGATGCTTGGGTAACCGGACTTTCTTGTTTTTTTCCTTGAAAACATTTCATTTCTCATCCAAGAAGCTTCTTCAGTTTCAGCTTCGTGAAGGAGAAGTGAAACATTTTCAAGGCAAAAGAAACAAGGAAGTCCAGTTGCCTTTTGAAAAGCACTTTTGGGACAACCATGACCTGGATAATTGAGAATCTCCATAGCCACTTAAAATCATGCTTACCCTCATAAAAATCATACGTGCACATTGTATGGCCCATTAGTGTTGGGAAATCGTTTCTGCTGCATTTGAGTAACTCAGAAGCCAAGTCTTGGTCAAGCTCTGTGCTTCGTGTCACCACACGGTCTAGGATCACTTGCTCAAACTGGGGCTTGAAAAAGGAATCCACTGCCACGTCTGTTATTACCACAGAGCCAGGCTCAACTCCTAAAAGTTGAAAATACACAGTGAATGAAGAAATATGAATGGGTAACTATGTCCCAGTAGATATTAGAATCTCTTACAGCAGATGGCATCCCTTAGTTTAGGGGTCCCCACCCATGGCCATGGACCAGCACAGCTGGAGGGGAGTGGTGGGTGAGTGAGAGAAACGTCATCTATATTTGCATCCATTCCCCAGGACTAGCGTTACCGCCTCAGTTCCACATCAAGCATTAGATTCTCATAGGAGCATAAACCCTACTAGAAACTGTTCATGTGAAGGATCTAGGTTGCATCGTCCTTCTCCTCCAATCTGTAGAAACATTGTCTTCCACGAAACTGGTCCCTGATGCCCAAAAGGTTGGGACCACTGTTTTAGTTGATCTTGGCTATCCCTCAGAGGTAAGCAGTGTTAGATAGTACATGATGTAGGAAGTTACTAAGAAATCTTGAGGCTATAGACCAGACTAGGAAATTGAAAAAACCACCCTAAAAGGCAATGACAAGCAACTTCTGTATTATAGCCAAAGAAAAGAACATAGAGATGTCCATGGAGTCACCAGCCACTGAGTTTGACTCAACTCTTTACAATAGGTTTAGCTTGATCCTAGGAATCTGAATATAGCAAAACTGAATATTTTGGTTTAGAGAAAGGTGGAACTGACACCAGTAATAAGTCATTGGTTGTGTCTGCCTGACCTGGCTGATCCAAAGATCCTCTCCATCAGTCACTTATCTCAAGAAGATTGAGCTAAATGCATAAGATTTTGATGGCTCAATTAGTCAGCCAGCAGCCATTTTGCACTATTCTCGGCTGACATGAAGGCAGTTTAGTGGGTGATTCTTTTCTTCTCAATATTTTGTTGGAGCAAATAACTAAAACATGCTCCATAAAAACAAATAAGCCCCCACCCCCATTTATGCCCTGGTCAAACCTGGTGGTGACACAGGCATACTGAAACAAATGCAGAAATGGAAGTCTTAATCATAGATAGTTGAGTGGACACTTAATTGAGAGGCAAATAATCACCATAACACAGGGAGTTAGTTGAGGTACTTAGGTTAACACCAAAGAAATCTAGGTTTTGAACTTCTCAAAACACAGTAACCTTCCCTCTTGACTCAGGGTGAATGAGGGCAATACATATTCTATCAACTAAAGTCTGTTTTAAATTTTGATTATATTTCATTTTATTTAGTTATTTATTAAATTTACATGAGCCATGGTAGTGCAGTGATATTGCAGGCTAATTCTGCTGACTGCCGGCTGACTGCAATTTGGCAGCTCAAATCCCACCAGGCTCAAGGTTGACTCAGCCTTCCATCCTTCCAAGGTGGGTAAACTGAGGAGCCAGATTGTTGGGAGCAATAGATTGACTCTGTAAACTGCATAGAGCAGGGGTCCCCAATCCCCAAGCCATAGCCCAATACTGGGCTATGGCCTATTTGGAACCAGGTCGCTTGAGTGGTGGGCCGGCTCACACACGCATGCAGCTCCACTCGCACACGCAGCATGCACATGAGTGGAGGTGCATGAACAGGTGCTCCAGCCTGCCCAGTTCCCTTTTCCCTCCACCCAGCCAGGCCACCAAGCTGTAACGGTTGGGGACCACTGGCTTAGAAAGCGTTGTAAAACACTGTGAAGGGTATATAAGTGCTATTGCTATTGCTACCCAGTGGTGGGGTTCAAATTTTGTACTACCAGTTCTCTGGGCGTGGCTTGGTGGGAGTGTCAGGGGAAGGATACTGTGAAATATCCAGTCAGAGGTGGTATTTGCCGGTTCTCTGAAATACTCAAAATTTCCGCTACCGATTCTCCAGAACTGGTCAGAACCTGCTGAATACCACCTCTGATGTTACCCATCTCACTCTGCAAAGTGACTGTTAAATTTAGGATTCTGTTCATGCTCAATCTATAGATATGTTCTATAAGCCTGTATGTATGTGTGTACAGTATGTATGAAGGGGCACAGTGGCCTAGTGTTTAAAGTGGTGGGCTTGCCAACCCAGAAGGCTGGCAGTTCAAAACCCAAACATTGTGTGATTGGGTGAACCCTCATTCTTGCCCCATTTCCTGCCTACCTATCATTTTGAAAGCATGCAAACGTGAGTAGATAAATAGGTACCATTTCAGAAAGTAAAAATGTTTCAGAACCAGAAGGTGACTATACAGAAAACAATACTTCCATCAAGAGACACTGAGCATCAGCTTCTGATGCCATATATTTTTCAGATGAACAAATGGTCACAAGCCACGGTCATCCCCATCTTCAGAAAGGGAGACCCCAGCCTAGTTGAAAATTACAGATTACAAATTACCAATATCTTTGTGCTGCGTCACTTGTAAAGTCATGGAATCAATTATTAACCAATCCATCATTCTCCACTTAGAAACAAACAACCTACTCTCTAATAAACAATTTGGTTTTAGGAAAAAACTATCATGTAATCTGCAACACTTACACTGCAAAAACATATGGACTACACAATTTGATCAGGGCAAAGCAATAGACACAATCTACATAGATTTCTGTAAAGCCTTTGATTCAGTGGTACACGACAAACTACTCCTAAAACTAAAATCTTACGGTATCTCTGGACACGTGCATAACTGGATAGAAGCATTCCTGTCAAACAGACAACAAATGGTAAAAATTGGGAGCGTCCTATCAAATTCAACAGTGGTATCCCCCAAGGCAGTGTTCTAGGACCAACTCTTTTCATACTCTACATAAATGACCTCTGTGATCATATCAAGAGCAACTGCGTTCTCTTTGCTGATGATGTAAAGCTATTCAACACCACAGACAATACTGCTACCCTTCAAAAAGACCTTGACTATGTATCAGAATGGTCAAACAAATGGCAACTTCAAATCTCAACAAATAAATACTCTGTCCTACATATTGGCAAAAAAAATCAGAAAATAAAATACAGGCTGAATAGTCCAGACCATGTTGATGATCCAAACTCTGTCAAGGATCTTGGAATATTCATCTCAAATGACCTAAGTGCTAGAGCCCACTGTAACTACATAGCCAAAAAGGCGTTAAGAGTTGTTAACCTAATCTTATGTAGCTTTTTCTCTGGTAATATTACACTGCTAACTGGAGCATACAAAACATTTGCTAGACCAATACTCGAATACAGCTCATCAGTCTGGAACCCACATTATGTATCTGATATTAACACAGTTGAGAAAGTCCAGAAATATTTCACAAGAAGAGTTCTCCACTCCTTTACTTGTTGCAGAATACCTTATGCCACCAGACTCGAAATTCTAGACCTAGAAAACCTAGAACTACGCCACCTTTGGTCTGATCTAAGTATAGTATATCAAATCATACGTTGCAATGTCCTACCTGTTAATGAATACTTCAGCTTCAACCATAACAACACAAGAGCAAACAATAGATACAAACTCAAGGTTAATCGCACCGAACTTGATTGCAGGAAATACGACTTCAGCAACAGAGTGGTCAATGTCTGGAATACTCTACCTGGCTCTGTGGTTTTTTCCCCAAACCTCAAAAACTTTAACTTTAGACTGTCTACCATTGACCTCACCCCTTTCATAAGAGGTCTGTAGGGGGCGTGCATAAGCGCACCAACGCGCCTACCGTCCCTGTCCTATTGTTTCTTTTATATATTTTTCTTATATGTATCCATGTATTCATAGCTATGTTTTTACTTATATCTATTATCTTGTAAGCAATTGACAAATAAATAAATAAATAAATAAATAAATAATAAATAAATAAATAAGTAAATAAATAAATAAATATTCCTTGATAGAACTCATAAAGGCAGTCATGACTATGGAAGCATCTTCAGACAATGCTGGCTCACTTGGCTAAGAATATATATATTCTATATCTATATGTTATTTTAAATGTTAGAAATATGACATATGTTATATGTTTGTCCACAATCATAGTGGGCTAACAGGCTTTAGATTAAAGTATCGTCCTCCAGCACCTGTTTAGTCTGTCATGAGAACCAACATAAGAAAGGAAATTAACGGTCTCAGTTTAGTCTGGTGAGCAGGTGATCAGATTCTTTAAAACAGAGAAAATTCATTTATGTATTTAAGATAATCTTTTGAGACATAGAAGCTCTTTTCACTCATTCTGAAAGCACATAAAGCTTTTCTTTTGATTAAAATTAATAGGCTGCTTGCAGTTGAACAAGTATGAAGAGAAGTCCATATTTTAAAGTGCAGGAATTTAATATGTTATAAATGCGATTGCAAAATACTCTTTTATGGTACGGTATTATATTTCTTTGTTCCAGTTAGTGCTGTTCTTATATAGATCCCAAGGAAAATTTATTTTGAATGACTTTAATTTAGAAAGGACATCAAGCCCCATATTTTCAGAGTGATGTTATCTCAGCCAAATACACATTTGTGATCTCTCTGTGTATAGCTTTGCTGCCTGGATTTTGTTGACTTGAAATGTATATTAAAACATGTTGAAAAATTCTCATCAAGATCTGACCTTTTCTGAGCTGTTTTTCATCTGCATCCCCTATACCTGGCAGCAGCAAAACTCTTGGCTTACCTAATCCTCCCGAGGTACCGATGCGGATAATGGTAACATCACAGCATTTTGCATGGTGTAGCAATTTGATTAGTTCATGAAGCATGATAGAAATGGAGGGAATACCCATCCCATGCTGTCAGGAGACGAGAAAAAGAAAGAAGAATTTGATACTTTCTCAACAAAACCAACCTGAACTTATACAGGCTGTTTCATAGAAAAATGCATCCAAAATATTGGTGCACAATTAAAGTCTACAATGGAAACACACGATGCATGATCTAACAAAAGCTAAGAGCTCTTAACTTAGCCTTCCCTTATTAAAATCAAATTATAGGAGTTCATTTATGATGCTAAAGCAGTATTCTTTAAAATACGGCTTGGTTCATATATAGTGCTAAGCAACAGTGGCTCGATGCATAGCTTCAATAATTAAAATATGGCTTAGCTGCAGGAATCGAGTTGCTATAGAAGAAAGCAGAATTCCATATGCAGAAGATAAATATATGTATGTGTTTGTGTGTGTGTGCATATATGCATTATACACATTATATACATTTTATAGATAGGATAGATAGATGATAGATAAATAGAGATAGAGATAGATAGAGATATAGAGATATAAATATAGATATAGTATGTATAGATATAACAGAACCTAGTGGTAGCCATTCTGCATGCCACCTAAATTAACACAGGATTCAAGAATGCTTTGTTGGGTTGTTATGCATCCTTCTTCAATACAGGTGCCTTATAGAGGCTTGAAGCCCCATAATTCTTTGCAATGGCCATATTGCTTCAGGAATCTGAGTGGTGGGATTCCATTTTTTTGCTACCGGTTCTGTGGGCGTGGCTTGGTGGGCATGGCAGGGGAAGGATAACTAATAAAACTCCAGTCAGAGATGGTATTTGCCGATTTTCTGAACTACTTAAAATTTCCGTTACCGGTTCTCCAGAACTGGTCAGAACCTGCCAAATGCCACCTCTGTTCTGAGTTGAAGTCCATTCATCTATATAATTTGAGAAGTCGGATGTTCCTTGTAGATGGTAACACAGCACTAACATTCATTAACATCAAGACTTTCCATAAAATATCTTTGCTTTGTCCAATAGGATGTAAGCACAAATCTTGACCTTATGGACTGGATTACTGCTGACTTAAACAAATATACACACACACCCTCTGTTAATAAGGAAACATGTAGGCTTTACAAAGTTAGTATACAGTAGTAACCCAAGTCAGATAATATGGTTCAGAGAGGAGACTAGTATAAATCACCATCTTGTCTTCAATGCTGCAACAACCCCCCCTTTTGACTTATGAGTTGGATTTTTGTTTCTGGCCTATTAATCTTAACGGTCTCTTCTCTCCCAGAAATATAAGCAAGCAATTTCTTTGGAAAGCTTAAACATCTGTTACATCCCACGTGTTTGACGAGCAGGAAAATAATTAATAGAAATAGCAAGAACAAACCAAGGCAATTTTTGGCATACTAAAAATTACAAGGAGTGGCAATTTTGAATATTTGAACCATTAGATTGGCAATAATCGCCCAAGGAGTAGGTGAAGGAAGAGGAAAATGGGAAATTGCTAGTAAATTAATTATTAAAGTGAATAAAGATGGAGTTGAACGTGTTTTCAAATGTGGAAGAAAGGGGTCACTGGGATGATTTAGGCCTTAGATTTTGACCTATTTAAAGATTATTAAATTACACCATTTCCCAGGGTGCAAAAGCTTCACTGAACATAAGGCTGCATAATGTAAGGTAGTGAAATTAGGGCCACTACCTGTGCTTTGGAAAAGCAACTACGGCCAGGCAGAAATGCTTCCCTGGCACTTCTATCATGCTTTCAGGCAGGCTCTCATACTCCCAGGCATCCATGCCAACTGCCTGTGCTAACTGGGCCGTTTTCAAGGAATGACTGACTTCCAGAGACATCCTCACCCACCCAAAACTTGGAGCTTACAAAGGCTAATGCTAAAGCAGAGTGGGAAAAGAGGTAGGTGTGTCAGAAAAGATGAAAGCAAAGCGCCTACAGACGGGGAAGTGGAGGTGATGCCTGCAGGTTGACAGCTAGTACAAGCAAGCAAAAGGACTTTCATTCAACTACGAGGATCATAAGCTAAAGCAGGGGTGTCCAACCTTGGCAACTTTAAGACTTGTGGACTTCAACTCCCAGAATTCCCCAGCCCACACAGCCAGCTGGGGAATTCTGGGAGTTGAAGTCCATAAGGCTTAATGTTGCCAAGGTTGAAACACCCCTGAGCTACAGTGAACAGCATAGCTTGGTAGGAGTCCAGTTTGGACCTTTCCCTGGAGCTTGGCAGCAACTAGAACAGGAGCGACCACACTGAAGCAACACCTCATCCCAATTAGTGCAAGATGTTTGGAAAAAAACAAAAGGTTGTATGCTTCTTTAAAGACTTTGAGACATTAGTTTGATCTGAAAATTAAAAGACAAGTATTAAGGGACTGAGTATTAAAGACCTATTTACGTGACAATATCCTCTTGCAAAGCCTAGAAAGGCAGAGTTAACCCAGAGCAACAGCCTGTTGCTGGGGAAGATGTGAGTGACAATGAAATGTTTTGTATAGATTTGCTATGCTGTGGTGTGTCAGATCCTGGGAGAGCAAAGAACGCCACATATAAGAAAGCGTAAGAAGTTTGTAAAAATAACACTTTGTGGAAAATGGGAAGAGAGTATATATAGTTACATCAAGTCATAGTTAGGCCTGGGTGTTATTTGGGAGTCATCCTGACACTTGTGACATCACTCAGGCCTGCAGCTCTACAATGGAGCTGGAAATCAGGGGTGTCAAACTGGTGGCCTGCGGACCAGGTGTGTCACACGCAGACCCCGGCTCCCCCAGCTCAGTAAAGACAAAAAATGTCGTGATACATCACGATATGTCATGTGATGTGATCAAGTTGGACACCCGTGAGCTGGATGGTGGACAATTGACAACTGGCAAGATGAAGATGCTTCACACTGCCTGAAAAAGATAAATAAACAAGAAACTCACAAGCACAATATGGTCACCAATTTAAAGTGCTTTAAAAATGGTCCAGACAACATTAATGAAGGCTCTAGTGATCGATGGCCATTAATTATGAAGGTTATAGCATTAGAGGAAGTATGCTGAGGGCAGGAGAAGAAATAATGGATGAAAACTTATCAAGGACAGAACCAACCTAGAACTAAGGAGAATTTTTCTGACAGTGAGAACAATTAACTAGTAGAATAGCTTATCCAGAGGTTGTGGGTGCTTCATCACTGGAAGTTTTTAAGACGAGACCGGACAACCATTTGTTGCCTTGAGCAGGGGTTTGGACCTCCAATGTCCCTTCCAATTATTATTTTGTATTCTGTAGTCTGTCTTTTCTGAAGTTTTCAAATATAATCCAGTAGAGCTCTTCTTATCATTTTCATGATATATATATATTTTTAAATAAATGTGGTTTGGATTATGTTGCATTTTTTATAGCATTATTTAAACTATTCTTTTATCTGGTTCCTACCACACACTAAGCAACAGTATAGTTGGAATGTTTCCTTAGCATATGATGTGAACCACCAATTTTGGCTTGCAAATTACCGTTTGTGGCTTGGTATATAATCTAAACCTGCCAATTGGGGTTTATTTGATAAAACCAAGTTGAAAAAGTCATGGTTCCATGCAAACTTGTAATACCTTCAATATCCTTGAAAGAAATTATGTAAAAAAAAAAAATCTTCCAGATCTGGGCTGCAAAAAATCCAGGTGACCACAGATGGCAGTCAAAAGTTATTTCAAGAAGTCAAGGAGAAAAGAATAGAAATTAAAAAGTGAAACTTAGTGTAGAAGTATAGAATAAATGAAGGATGGAAAAATGAAACTTAAGTGTAGAAGTATAGAATAAATGAAGGATGGAAATATAGGTAATCCTCACTTATGGACCGTAACTGGGACTGGCTACTCCACTGGCTAATTGACACGATTATAAAGTGAAACATCCCATGACCATGACCAACTTACCGATGCTTTTCTCAAGCATTTGGGAGGGCGAAAATGGCCTTCCCATGCTCCAGAGGCTCTGTGGAAGCCAGAAACGGGCCCATTTCTGACCTTTCTGAACTTCCGGGAGACCTGTTTTTCGCCCTCCCCGAGCCTCCGCGTGCGCCCTGCACTTACCAGCATCCAAAATGAGCTGTGTGGGAACTCCTGCGGGTGGGGGCGAGTGGGTGGGGCCAGTCAGGAGTGGGATTTGGGGGTTCTCCGAACTGCACAGAATCTTTGCTAGGGGCTCTCCCGAACTCCTGCAAACTCCCAGCAGCCAACGCCTCCTTGCACTACTTGTTTGCTCCCTTCCCACTAATTCTGTTCCTCTGTTTAAGTCAGGGGATATCTCAGAAAAGATGACCTAGCAAGTCACAGGTTTTCTAATAGCCTATAATAAAATAGACAACACGAGTCACAGCTAGAGAGTAGTATTATCTTCGGAGCAGAATGAAGAACGTATCAGGATGTATAAGAAAGTCTAAAAGAATTTTGGCACAGCCATAAAATAGCTAACTAATGAGAAGCAGTGCATTTGGAATGGTATTGCTGTAATCTGTAACTGTAAGGGATAGGTTAGGAGAGAGATAAAGGTCAGGTTGAAGAATGTGGCTGGAACAACGGTGATGAGGAACCAGAAGATCAAGTCTTGGAAATGTGAAAATAGAAAGGATGGAGAGAATAAGGATCGAAGGTCTGGGCATAAATAGTATATCTGAGAAAAGAAAAGAGAAATAGGGTACTTACAGTAAGATAGATAAGTGCAAGTAATTAGAAACAGGGTATAAGAAATGGCAAATGCACAATAAATGAAAGAACATAAAACTCTTCAGACTAAGAAACAAAATTTATTTTTGTAGTGCACTTTGATACTAAGCTCTCATTTCTTCAATGACCATCAGTCTCTGTATCTCATCCAAATCCATCCCATCCCAAAATCTATCACATGTGTGTTTTATATCCAAATATATTTTATTTTTTATATTGTCTCTTCCCTTCAAAATATTTTAGAGTCCACAATGATCTGAGAATCAGTGTCTACACTAGATAATTTAACAGTCAAGCTGAAACTAAGTTAATCAACTAAAATGAGCAAACTTCCTCAAACAATTTACCTAGACCTAATCCACAAATCAAAGGATAAGGTTGACAAATACAAAGTTAATTAAATTAGGTCTCCCAGAAGAACTGCATGTTCACAAGAATAAACACACACACACACACACACCCCTCAAATGTCACTCTAGAATCAGCACGTGACACTCTGGACAAGCTCCCCCTATACAAATTTGCTGCTGTGCCCCATTTCTCTGCAGCCTGCCCCTAAATGCAAACTGTTTTGCTTTTAGGAATAGATATTTCTTCTTTCCTCACAGGTGTCTAGGTCTCATTTTTATTTACTCTTGCACAGCCCTGGCTCGAGTTGGAACCCCAAATTATTCTTCTGACACAGGGCTCTACAAATTCAGCTGCAAATTCAGCTTGGGGGATTAGATCACCCCTGCATTTTATTTTTTTCCCCCTTTTGGCAGGACAAGTCCATCTCTCTATCTCAGGGGTGTCAAACTCAGGGCCCTCAGGCTGAATGTGTCACACGCTGGCCACCCCCACCCCCAGTTAATAGAAGGGGAAAAAAGTTGTGATACATCACATGATACGACAATGTGTCATCACGAGTTTGACACCCCTGCTCTGTGTTTCCTTTCCCCATACTCTGTTGGCTGAATTGTGGTGTGTCTGAAATGCATGGAAAACTGGGCTTTTGTGAATCAACTGGATTTGTTCCAGATATAATTTTTGTTAGGTTCAAAGATGGCATAGTGCGACCTGAATTTCAAAGGCAAAAATATTCAAATAACATCAAATTTCAATAGTGGGGGAAAAAAATCCATAGACCATAATAGGGAAGCATCAAAACATCTGCAGCTGCTTCTTCTTTTTTTAATCGGGATGGGATGAAAATAGCAAAGGAGTTTTAGCTGTTTTTGAATCTTCCAGGGTTTTACTGCAATCTTTTGCTGAAAAACATTCTCCTTATTAAGGGATTCTCTCTTTCTAAGGGAGGAATGAGAGGAATGAGGAAAGGACAGCAGAACTATCTCCAAATTATCTAGCAAATGTCCTCTAGAGGAGTGGTCCAGAAAAAAAATTACAAAAACAATGTCCTACTTAGATTTAAAATGAAAGCCTTTGAAAACAGTATAAAAAGTAAGAACTTGACTCTCCATTTTTACTGTCATGTGGCAATAACATGACTTACCTTTATGCAGTATTACAACTTTGCTTTCTCTAAACTCTGAGGGGTTTTGGGAGGGGGGAGGGAGGAGAGGACAGGAAAGTTGACATAAATGGCTCAGGGGTGGGCTTCAAAAATTTTAGCAACAGGTTCTCTGCCGGGTTGCTGGGTGAGCATGGCCATGATGGGTGTAGCCTAGTCAACCTCCTGCACCACACCCAGGGGGGAATGTTTTTGCCCTTCCCGGGCTCCGGTGCTTTGCTCGAGCCTCGGGGAGGGTGAAAATGGCCTTCCTGGGCTCTGGAGGCTCTCTGGAAGCTGGAAATGGGCCCATATCCGGCCTTCCTGAACTTCTGGGAAGTTTTTCATCTTCCCTGAGCCTCCATGCATGCCCTGCACTTACCTGTATCCAAAATGGGCTGCGTGGGGACTTTGGGGAGGGGCAGGGTAAGCGGGGCCAGCCAGGAGTGGGATTTGGGGGTTCTTCGAACTGCACAGAATCTTAGCTAAGGGCTCTCCCAAATCCCTGCAAACCTCCAGCAGCCCACCAGGGGTGGGATTCTACCAGTTTGCACCTATTCGTTAGAACCGGTTGTTAACATTCTAAGCAGTTTGGAGAACTGGTTGTTAGAAGAAATTACTGGCCTAATCCTGTAAGGAAGACAGGAAGGAAACATTCTGGTATTGCTTACAGAAACTGTCTCTCCGTTAACCCTTATTACATTCTTGGCAGGATTAGACTTCCTGTCTCTGGAACTTCTCTGGAGTTTTTTCCCCCTCCATTGCTGGTACTTTGCTTGTGTGGAGTCACCATTCAAAGTTACAATGGCACTGAATAAAGTGACTTATGACCATTTTTCACACTTATGACTGTTGCAGCATCCCCAAAGTCATGAGAGGCCAGGTGAGGAGATGCATGCCTCGATGTGATATTGAGTTGGCCACACCCAGCCAATAACATGTCCACCCAGTCACATGACCACCAAGCCACACCCACCACCTAAGCCACGCCCACAGAACAGGTTGTTAAAAACTTTGAATCCCACCCCTGCAGCCCAACCCTGAAATGGTTGCCAAGCTTGACCTGTGTAAGGAAGGATCTTCTCATTGGCAAGTCTTACCTTCTCCTGGAAATGCCCCAGGTATGCCAGTGTTGTACCTGGCTGGCAATTCTCACTGTGGTATGAAAGGTGGTAAAAGAAGCCAGGCACAGTGAAATACAAGCAGACCACAGTGAAAGAAGCCACTATTATGTGTACAGTATGCACCAAACTCATCATCAGGCAAGATCCAACACTGGGATTCATGATTAGTCTTAGGTTCTTTAATAAAAACTAGCAGTTCATCCACATTTGTTTCCAACACTGAGCCATGCTTTGACTGGCTGTCTGCTGGTGTGGGAGTTCAGGCTAGTTCTCCCCAACGGTCCCACTTATAAGCTTGCTGGAGTGGGAGGGTAGGTTCTGTATCTCCATGGCTTCCTAACAAAAGCAATATATTCAGCTTTCCAGCTTTCTGCTTTAGCCCCTTAAGGGATAAACTGAGATTATACAACATGGCCCTGGGCACTCTTGCTGACATGCAAGTGAGGTAGAAAGAGTGGAAAATGTAAAGGATTGAAGGTGCTTCTGGTTCAATGAAGTGATGCCATGGTCGGTTAAACCATGGCCTAAAAAGTTGTTCCTTGAGCCCCAGCATCGATCTTTCTTTCTTTTTTTTAAATCTGGTTCTTCCTCTGAAAAGTCTTAGACATACATTAAAGAACAAAGAGTATGCTGGAATGGTCGGATATACTGTATACTATTAAGAGGAGTTCCCAGGATTCCGCATGAGGTACTTACGCTGATGGAGAGCACTGGGCCCACCTTATACATGGAGTAACGGTCAGTCCCAGCACAAATGTTTTCCAAGTCATTGTCCTCTCCTTCGTGTCCAAGTTCTTTCTGCATGAACTGAGCAAAAGCCTTCATTCTGTTGGGGCTTCCTCCCACGCAGACAAACTGCAAAAGGATGACAAGGGTATCAGCCACAGCAACAACAACGCTGCATCTACTGCCGCTAAGCTGTCAGAATGGTTTTGTGCATTTTTTTTTTAAATATCCCAAAGGATATAAAAATCCTACTTGAAAGCATGAACTAAAAGATGGTCCTGACCTGCTTGAGCCATAATGGGGACACAAGAGGTCCCCATTCGTCAGGATCTGATCAGGATAATCTTATGGAATTTAATCATTGTGCGACTTAAGGAGCAGAATGTAAGAACCTGGTTTTATTCTTGTCATGATATCGGTAGACTGAAATCAGGGATGAGTAATTTGGATGAGGGTTTTATTTATTTAGTGAATGGCACGTGTTAGCCAGGGGCCTCTGTGACAGGAAATTTTTTCGGGCGGTGTTATCTTTACCCGTGGAGTGCTTGAATGCTTGTAGGCAATCGGGGCGGGGGGCCCTCTTTTCTTGTCCCTCCATGGTTTATTCACTCATGGGAATCGAGCTGCTGAGCTGTCGGCCTCAGCGGTGCACAGACCCAGTGTCTTACCACTTCTTTCACTCTGGCCCCTCTGGGAAGGGTAAGCCTTCTTTATTTACTTCAGCCAAAAACACTGTTTTAGAAAATAAAGAAGGCTGGGTGAGGGTAAGCCGCCTTTATTTTTTAAAACAGTGTTTTTGGCTCAAGTATTGCCACAAATGGCCGTTTTTACATTTCCAACCAGAGATTCAGTGTACAGATTTTAAAACTAATTTAGTATTTTTCTTATCCCACCTTTGTTATTTTTAGAAATTACCTCTTCTTTTCCCATAACAATAACCCTGTGAGATGGGCTGGGCTGAAAGAGAGTGCCTGGCCCAAGGTCACCCAGCCAGTTAGAACTCACAGTCTCCTGGTTTCTAGCCTGGTACCTTCACCACTAGACCAAACTGGCCATGCAAAGTAATCATATGGCCAATCGATACCATTTTGATTATTGTATACCACCTAGAGTTCCTTCTGTGAGACAGGTAACCATATAAATGTGATTAATAAATAATAAATACATTTTATGACTGAATTTCTGCGATGTAAATTGTTGAAGAGCTGTGGAGCACTGCCAAAACAGGTCTGGGGAACTATGGGTCATTAGGTAGCTGCCCAGGCTGTGTCCCACTGAACTTTGCCATAAGAAATGCACAATTTCTATCGAAAGGGGCCCTTCTATATGCTTCACCAGTTGTGAAGGTCTAGTAATCTAATACCCATGACATAAATAAAATTGAAATGTTTCCTCTCCTGAAGGAATATCCAATGAAGTGAAACAGGAGGGGGGGATAATATTATGTCCGGCATATTATTTGATTCAATAAAAGGGGTGGAGGGAGAAGAAAGAAAAGATGTGCAGGGATACAGTTTTAGATCACCCCTATATATCTGCTTCTACACGGACTACATTGTGCCTGGAATTCTGCCCACATTTTGAAGGGACGAGTGGCACAAACCATCAAAAATGCATCTGGATTTCACATCCGATATGCAAAGTCTGCATTTTATATCTGAATTTTGTCCCCGGTCCAAATGTCTTATTTGCAGCGACTGTAATTTTCAGCTGGAAATAAACCCAGCAAAATAAGCAAGCACGGCACATAAACTGCTAGTAGTTATTTGTGCTAGAAACAAAGTTGAACCAGATGCTGAATTGGTGTGTGGTCTGCTCTATTATTTCAAGTAGGGTGCAAAATTCTGTACGTGCAGTCAGGAATTGCAACTGTAAATGGGTGTGGAATGCCAGGAAAAGAAATAAAAAATCACTTCTGAATCGAGAGGGTAGCTAATCAACGCATCTCTGTTTGCTTGCCCCACGTAGCTATTGTAGTCCAAAATGACATTTGATCCAGAAATGGTATTCAGCAGGTTCAGAAATTTTGAGTAGTTCGGAGAACCAGTAGCAGAAAATTCAAGTAATTTGGAATACCACCTCTGACTGGCCCCTCCCAGTCAGAGGTGGTATTATCTGCCTCCCGAGTCCCAGCTGATCGGCTGGGTCTTCGTTTGTTGCCCTGTACAGGAGAATGGAGCAGGAAAGCAGGTTAGTGGGGTGGGGAGAGAATGGGGATTTTGCAGTATCCTGCCACGCCCACCTATCTATGCCCACAAAACCGGTAGTAAATTTTTTTTTGAATCCTACCACTGATTTGATCAAAATGGCTGGCATTTCTATACACTTTTTGCACAACTTTGTAGTCCCTGATGTACATACTATAGGTTCAAACCCTGTGCATTTCCTCAGGAGAAAATAAACCCATCTCTGATTGTGCTCCAAATGTGTGATGAACCTCAAAAGAACCAATTTAAAATTTATCTTGATACTTCCATTAAAATCAATGAGGTTTTTAAATACTTAGCTTGGGTTCCACATATTTTCCAGAAATAAATTAAAGGAATTCATTGGGCTTTTTTTTTTACACAGCACAGATAAGGATTTCAGAAGCAAGGCAATTCCACTTTATTTAAAATAAGAGTTATTGAAAGTTTTACAGAGAACATAAAAATTAATATAAACTAATAAAGTGTAAAAGCAGTGTAGAAAGAAATAAAGATGAAATAAAAAAACAACATTAGAGAAAAAGAATAAAAAGAAATAGAAAGAAGCAGTGTCCAATTTCATTTGCAGCAAATATAAGTGCTAATAAAAAAAATATCTCTTACTCTATAATTACAAAAGAAAGTTCACACTTTTATGCATTTTTTGGTAATCATCAATGCCACAAATCAAGTGCATTTTCCTGTTTTATGCAAAAACTCTATACTGTAAGGGTTTTCCATTCAGCCATAAGTCTAGATCTCGACTATGTGTCTGAATGATCATCTATTTGGCAACTTCAAATTTCGATTAATAAATGGTCTGCCTTACATATTGGTAAATGTAATCAGAATGTCAAATAAAAGTTAGGTGGTATTGATCTAGCAGATGACCCTCACTTTGTTAAGGACCTAAGTGTACTTATCTCTGACGATTTATGCTCCAAAGCTCACTGTAACAGTGTTGCTATAAAAAAAAGCATTAAGAGTTGTAAACTTAATTTTGGGAAGCTTTTTTTCTGGAAACGTATTGCTAATTAGAGCTTATAAAACTTATGCCAGATCGGTTTTAGAGTATTGTTCAACTGTGTGGAATCCCAACCGTATATCTGACATCAGTACAATCGATCAGGTTCAGAAGTAGAATTCCTTATGCTACTAAACTCAAAGTTCTCAGTTTGGATAACTCAGAATTGCATCACTTGCGGTAGGACCTAGGTATTGCATACAAAATTATACATTGTAATGTTTTACCTGAAATGACTTTTTCTGTTTTAATCTCAATAATATGTGCGCAAACAACCGCTTTAAACTCAATGTAAATCGTTCTAAACCTGACTGTAAAAAATATGATTTCTATAATAGAGTTGTCGAAGTCTGGAAAGCTCTGATTCAGTTGTCTCATTTACAAATTTTCACAGTTTCAGTCACAAATTGACTTCCGTGGACCTTACTTCACATTTAAGTGGTCAGTAGAGGGGGCATGCATAAGTGCTCTAATGTGCCTATTGTCCCTGTCGTTGTACTTTTATTCTCTTATTCTTGTTCTCATTTTTGTTTGACAAATTCCAATAAATAAATAAATAAATAAAATAAACAGATGCTGTTTTTCCTCTGATCAAACAGGTTAATTTAGCCATCGCTGAGAACCAAAGCAAGTTTCCAACTGGGATTCAGTTGTTGAAGACTTTTGGATAACAGTCATATATGTATAATGAATCCTCAATTTAAAGGACTATTTAGGGAAAACACATCAGTTAACAAAAATGCTTGTTAGTATTACATTTATGTAACTAACATAGTTTGTATGCCATTGACATTGATTTGCATCATTTGTGTTAGGGCAGTTGTTCAGATGGGTTTTAAAAACAATAGACATCCATTATTTTGTGTGTATGGGGGGAGTACAAATACAAAATTAATCATTTACACCCAAGGTGCTCAAAATTGCAGTCCAGAGAATTGTGATTAAACTTCAAAAGTTTAAACAAACAAACAAAAAACAGGGCTATCAGATTTGAGCCTCAAAAATCCGGATGACCACAAGATGGCAGCAAAAATAGATTTTTGTGTATCTCTTTGCTGCATGTAGATGTTTTCGCTTCAGATCTGCTAATCCCAGCAGAGACACAGAGCCTGTGAGGAATGTAGGTTCAGTTCTTAACATCTCTAGTTAAAAGGGTTAGCTAAAGAAGCGAACTATCATGATTAATAAGAATGCATCCTTCTATATGTCAGAATATCACTTCCTAAACTCTTATTATTTCTCTCGTCTGGGAATTCTGTTCCTCTTCTAATGTGAACCAGTGTCAAATTTGGAGCCACGGAGTCTCTTGCTAAAAGTTTTCCATGAGACTAAACACACTTCACAATACAGTTGGTGTTTGTTTATCTGAAAATATCCCTAAGCAGCTTTGGAAGTGGCATCAACAGGCTCTTCTCCTTAGCAAGAGAAATGGGAAATGATACCACCGATGACTCAATTTCCACCATGTATTGTTTTGGAACTGAAGCCAGAGAAACTACCCCAAGGAAGAATTTAGCCCATCAAACTGGCTTTGTTTTCTCAATTCTCCTTCCTTCAACTGAGAAGCGGAAGGGTAATTGCCCATAACTGTAGCTGCAGCATACTTTTTGAGTCACTTTGCCGTTATTCCCTTAGGACCTTTAACTCATCTCTGAAGCTTGTCTGTGGTTTTGGTAACAAAAAGAAAAGAAAAGAAAAAGAGAAAAGAAGAGCAGCAAGAACAGAATGGAAGGTGTTTAGAAAAGCAACAGCTGTGTCATCTTGATGTTACCTTTATGTCTCCAAACATGGCTGGCAGGTTGTGCGTTTTGGTTCCTAAAGCCAAGTGGTAAAGGATGTCTTCCTCCATTAAATCCAAATGGGGGTTCTTAACATAAACAAATCCATTCCTAGGAAAGAAACATAAAAAGAGAAGGAGGAAGCTGTCAGTGACCGCAGAGAGGGGAAATGGCAAGATAAAATATGGGAACCCAGGAATTCAGGTGAAGTTGTAGATTGCCTGTTTATAAATTAATAATGCTGAGGTTGGCGAGAGAAAAAGAACTGTGGCCAAACAAGCTCTTTCCAGATGATCAGTTTTTAGTATAGTAAATGTGTTGCTATTGCCCACTTGGTATGCTGATTGCAAACCTCTTCCCTGGAGGTTGAAGTTCTCGGTGTTCTGCAGCAATATATTTTATATTCAGGAAATAGCATTTCCCCCCCCTCCCCTCCCGCCTTTCACTCCACTGGTGTCTTGTGTTTGCCTTCTGAAATGACTTTGTGTGACTGTTAACAGACACATTTCTTATGGTTTGTGTGAAGTCGTTAATAATGTTCGCACTGCCGTTTAGTTCTGTGATCTTCTTTATTCTTTAGTCTTCACAATATCACCAGTGGGTTGTATTCTCTTGTAGTGCTCAGAAAGATCAGAAATAGCTCCTGATAGATCAAACCAAGCCTTTGTCTGTTCTAAAGGGCCCCATAAGACACAGGACTGCTGGAGTAAAGGACACTCAACTACTCCATGTACAAGCAGCCTCATACTCACATTGTGTTTCTCACAACCACTCAATCAGAGATCTTATAAACAAAGCGTGAAGATGCTAGCCCTCTTCTGGTGCTGACCATCAGCAGCTACGATTTAGGCTATCCTATCTCTGAACACTGAGTTTTGCTTTTTTTTTTTTTTTACTTTTCCGTATCCTGCCAGATATTTCTGGAAAATCAATCTATTTGGGGAGAGGGGAGGTAAAAATTCCTTGTTAAGCTAGGTTCCTGGGGGTTACATGAACGCAACCCTATATTTTTAGGGGAAGAATATAAAAGTGGTTTGCCTTCTTCCAGAATTCCCCCCACACACATCCCCCCCCTCAGTTTCTTAATCCAGTTTACTTCTGTGGGATTTCTAGTGATGATCCATCCGAGTACTAATCAGGTCTGATTTTATTTAGGTCTTTTTTATATTAGCCAAGAACCACTGCATTTTATTAGCTGGAATTACCCCTAAGACACACGGACTCCCACTTTACTGGGACAGCACTACCAATGGCACTAAGACTTATATACCACTTCACAGTGCTTTAGAGCCCTCTCTAAGCGGTTTACAGAGTCAGCCTATTACACCCCTCAACAATCTGGGCCCTCATTTTACTGACCTCGGAAGGAATGGAAGACTGAGTCAACCTTGAGTCCCTGTGAGGATCGAACTTAGATGTTTCCAAGCTGATGCTGAACAGCCTATCTTAGAGCTACATTAATTAAATTATCCTTTAAGCTATTCAGAAGATGACAAATTGGAGTTTTAGGAATATAGTTCAGCCTCACATTAAACTCCTTAATATTTCTTTCCTATATATGTAATGATTTGAAATAATGCTAGAGCTGGACATAATGAGATCCTAGAGTTAAACATTCTTCAAATTTCTTGCAACACCAGCACACACACACACACACACACACACACACACACAACACACATATACACTTCCATCCCTTTTTAATAATTCTTCCAGAGATCTACTAAAATGTGAGTTAGTATATTCTGATTAAATTCATTTTTTTAATCATAGGAAGCCATACTGAAGAAAAAATAAAAAGAAATGCTTAGTTTAATGAGGAGACAAATGGAAGGCAGAAGGATTACTTGAGTAAGAGAAAAAGTCAACAAAGGTTTAAAGTGGAAAAAAAATGTTCAAGAGTCAGAAGCAATAAGACAAAAGAGAAACAAAGACAAAACATATCAGCTAAAAGAGTAAAATACAACCACATGACTAAGGGATAAGAAATAAAGGCAGAACTCATGAGCCTAGAGACCCATGAATAATTCTATCACTTTTTAACATCTTATTCTTAGTTACTATGTATTCTAATTCTTTTATTTTGATTTTGTAAGCTGCCCAGAGCCCAGTCAGGTTCAGAGGGTCAAATAAATTTCATAAATAAAAAATAAATGAGGGTTCCCCCCCCCACACACACACACACTTCATCCTTGTTTCCAGCTGACATGCTTACTAGGACATCAGGGCTGGGAGAACCAAAGAGCAGCCGGCTTGATCTGGATCAGAACCAAGAAAGTACAAACCCACCAGATGTGACATTTGTTTCAAGGTCAGCTGTGACCGAGCATCCTTGCCAAGGAAAGACTTTATTTGTATTATGTAGGCATTCAATTTATAGACTATCTTATTGAAGGTGCTTACCCTTTGACAAATACTGCTCAGGATGGATGGATGAGACACTGAACAAGCCTCTGGACCCTGAGGTCCCAAGATCTTCAATTCAACATTTGCTCTAGTACAAAGTTGTTCTTATAGATGTAGAATTGCATGGCTGTTGTTTCAATGAATGTACTAAAGCATACTAGCATTTTATTTTGAACTGAAAGCAAAAGAGGTATATGGTCTGTATGTAGCAGAAGGGACTTGGGGCTTACTGGTTGGGAACCTCTTCTGGTTAGAGGTTTTAGTAGCAGGCTGAATGACATTAAATTATCTAGGAGCTGGGAAAGATTCTACTTGGCAAATCTCTGGGAGATTCAGCACCCAAATCTAGGACTGGCTCCAATATTATATCTGAAATTAGGTAATTTCATAGAGGCACCATTGAGATTTTTTTTTAAAAAAAAAACACCATTAACCTGCACCCCTGCATAATTTCCCTTGGCTATATTGCATTGGGGGCACCCCACAAAAATCTGAAGTGATGACCATTTCTTTAATTACACCATCTACTCTTGCAGACTTACCATTTTTAAAGTTCTCATAGCATTTATTATTTTCTGTGTCATTCTTTCTGGGACACTAATAATCTATAGCATTCATTTCAATTCCATCCTTTAACAGATCATTATCCTTCCCATACAAATCTCTAAAATACTCTTTCTAGAATTTCTGTTTCATCTCACATTACTTGAAATGTGGTTTTTTTCCCCATTTCATGGCTTCTGCAAAGAGAAAAAATATGCATGCAATTGGTAAGCAAAGTGCTTACCATGAAGTGGGTACTTGGAGTGAGGCTTGCAAGAATGTCAGGGAAGCTGACAAGGAATGAACCAGAGGCTTGGCTAGGGCATGCATAAGTGCACCATCGTGCCTCCCATCCCTATCCTATTGTCCCCATTTATTCGTACCTATTTCCTGTATTCTTACTCATGTTTATACTTATACCTATTATCTTGTAAGCAACTGACAAATAAATAAATTAAATAAATAAATAAAAATAGCAGTAGCAATAGCACTTAGATGTATAAATCATCCCACAGTGCTTTACAACAGTGATCCCCAACCTTTTTTACTCCGCGGCCTGGTATCCCCAACCTTTTTTATGGCGCGGCCTGGTACTGACATGAGCTCACCGGAAGCACTTTTTCATCAAAACAAGATGGCGGCGCCCAGCAAGCCAGCGGCCCGGTAGGACTTGTTCCACGGACCGGTACCGGTCCGCGGACCGGTGGTTGGGGACCCCTGCTTTACAACACTCTCTGAGAAGTTTAAAGAGTCGACATATTGCTCCCAACAATCTGGGACCATATTTTACCGATTTCGGAAGGATGGAGGGCTGAGTCAAGCTTGAGATGGTCAGGATCGAACTCCTGGCAGTTGGAATGCAGAGTTAGTCTGCAAGACTGCATTCTAACCTCTGAGCCATCATGGCTCATAATATGCCAAAACCAAAATGAAGCAGGAATCAAGAACAGGAAACTACAAAGTCAGATGCCAAAGTTGTTTCCAGCAATGAAACGTAGTCCCTGCACAGTTTATATCTCCTCCCCTCTGAGTATACACAGGTAAGCTCTTGCTGCTCAGCGATTGCCTATAATGAGGCACCGGGCTTGCTTATAGAGCTAGCATTTTGCCACTTGCCCACAAGGCAAGTTACTTTGTAAGAGTGCAGAATTCTCACGCTAGGGAATTTGTTTCTTGTGGCTTGGCTTTGAGGATATGACCGTTTTATTTTTTAATTCAATTCTTTCTGCTCTCTTCGCACAGTTCCAAAACTATTTTTTTTACATTTTTATTTATCAAAATGACTGCACATTGTCTCTGATTCTTTCATTGTGAACAGTTCTGTATTTTCCTACATTTTCTTGAAATGGTCTTCTTTCCTATCTCATTCTCATTCATTGTAAATCATTCTCTTGCATGCATTTTTTCTCATTCACTGCATCTTTTACTTCATTAGGCCTTGCGGATAGTATGATTGTGAATTCCCCCTTTCAGTCTTGTTTTTTTTTTAATTTTGTACTTTGCTATTCTGTTCTATTTTTCTTTTAATAAGTTGGTTTTTTTAGTTGTAAGCCAATCAAAGTTGTTTGGGAATTGGGTGGCCTATAAATTAAATTAAGTAAATAATTTCACTAAGCAGCTTTTTTATACTTCACATTTCTCTTATATTCTGGAACGTAATTCTTTTTACTGCGTTCCAAGCAATTTCCACAGCTATTTTCCACCTTAATGTCCACTTTTTATTGATTTTCTTGGGAGAATAATCTATCTTAAGTACATTTTCATATAGAACCTTCTCTTCCTGTAATCATTCTAATTTTACTCTAGTTCCACTTGTTTCCTTTTCTTCAATGGCTGTTTTCCCCATTGCAGCATCCATTCTTGAAAAAAATAATGGTCTGTTCCATATTCAGAACCTCAAATTACCTCAAATCCTTCACTAATTGCTTCAATTTTTCATCATAATTAAATCAACCATGTTTATGTGTATTCTTGTCATGCATAGATATGAATGAGTTTATGCATAAATGACATGTTTACAATATATTTTCTTCTATTAGATACTCATCAAATTGTCATCATCATCATCTTCGTTCATTCATTCATTCTTGGGTCTTCTCTGAATATTCAATTCACTTTTTCTTTCTTTCTGCCTCGTTGCTATCATGAATTTATGTCATTTAGCAGAATAATTTTCTCCTTGAATTGAATTCATTCAGAATTTTTCAGTTTTTTCCCCCAACTCATCATTGTTTTTTTTCATTATCACTATTCACTAGGGCATAATATACAACTATTAGCAATCTATAGATGTTTACTTTCATACCTATTACATCTTCTTTCTCATAGACATACCATCAGAAAAGATCTATTTTTTTCCTTAATTCAGGTTCTTTACTATTATTTCTCTTATGTAAACTGCAGTCTTCCATATGATATAGCTATCGCCGGATTGGCCCATACTTTTTGACTTCACTCGTCCAAAATGGCTTTTGTTAATCAAGGTTTTCACATAATGCTTTTTAGTAAGATATAGAAAGCGTAGATTAGGTTATCAGTCTTGTTATAACTAGAGCACATTCTTCTTTAAAAATAAAAATAGGTATGTGTAAAGAAAACTAGCACAGAAAACTTCCTGAAGAAATGTAATAGATAGGGAAGTAGAGTAGCAAGGTTACTTGGGGTAAGTGTTCATACAATTTAGTTACTCATTAAATTAAGACAATAAGCCTAAGATTTGGACAATGAAGAAACTATTTTAAGTAGGATCCCAAGGATCTCTTTGGGAATTTATATAATAATTCCAAAGAATTAAAACAAAGAAAGAAAGAAATGGGATTCCAACCGTCTCTCCAAATTTTTTAAAAATGATAATGAAATAGTAAATTGGATTCAGTGTAAGTAAATATTGATTGTCATAAGTCACGAATTTCCATGCACAATAACTGGAGTTGGGCTTGTGATCAGAAGAGGAATTTTAATTATGACAGAGAGTTCAATGAAAATGTTAATGCAGTATGTGATAGCTGTGACAAAAGGTTAATTATATACTAGGAAACATTAGAAAGAGATTTAAAACTTCTGGGACAGCTATATTTGAAATTCTACTAGCAGTTCTTCTAACCATACTGGTAAAGACTCCTTGAGTTGAGTTCTGCCCCTAGTGACTATGTGGACATAGTCATGTAGTTTTCTTGATAACAATTTGGGAGAAGTTTGCTATTGCTACATCTGGGATGTTTTTTAAACTTCCCAGTCTAGCCTACAGATGTGAGATTTCATTGTGATCTCCTATCCAAATATTAAGCCCAATTCTTAACATTTTTTGAGATCAGATCACTTCTGGTGAGGCTGTAAATATTTAGGGGAACACAAAATGTGGAGAATATAAAATGTACAGGGAATCATTGTGTTGTACATTTAAATGTATCACTGTATTAATATAAATATCAAATTACTATTTGGAGTCAATCCTTTGAGCAAGTTGCTTGCAAAACATGGCTTAATAAATCTCCAAACCAATGTGAATTTTGTACAAATAGTTTTTGAAGCATACCCGTTGGACATCAATGTTCTACAAGCCATTGGGTAATCTAATGTTATTAATTGTTTGACTTACTCTTTTCAGCACTATAACCCTTTCCCAGGGGCAGTTCAAATTAAAATGTCATTTAGATTCAATTGTTTCAATCTGCTATTAAATCAGTCAATAGATCATTCTGCTCTTTTATTGTAATAGTTGTAATAGTTGAATTACAATTCAACTATTGTATCCCTTGTTAAAATGATAATACAGATATACAATGATATATTTTTGTTGTTAGAAATTTCTTTTTTAGACACTTTTCATATAATTATTGTAATATTTTCCCTTGTCCTCTTGATTAAAGGTTAAATTTTGCTCTATGCTTAAATTAAAATTATATTCAGAAGACTCAAGTTTCTGATTGCATCCTCCTTCCAATTATAATTGCAAATGAACTTAACTTCATAAGAATGTAGGCCCTTGTTTAGTTATTAAAAGAAAATTAATACATTAGGTCTTTTGAAAAAATCTGTAGCAATTAAGACCACTTACATGCAGTAAAATTTAAGTGCTTAAGCTGGATTAGAACTACAGAGAGATCAAAGTAAATCACAAAAACATAATGCTGGTGATAGTAAGGAAAGAACCTTTCAGTTTTGCTTTCTTCCACATTAAAAAAAAAAAGTTAAATCTCTGCTAATTATAAAGATGTGCAAATCCTGGAAAGTTTCAATATATAGGAATGAACAAATGAAATGACTTTCTTTGCACCTACTACATAACTATTAAAGAGAAATAGCTTTTGAGAAAAAAAATCTGGTAGCAACACAAATTCTGCATCTCACACTACTTTATATACAAGTAGTCCTTGATTTACCACCACAATTGAGCCCAAAATTTATGTTGTTAAGTGAGACATGTGTTAAATGAGTTTTGCCCCCATTTTATGACCTTTCTTGCCACTGTTGTTAAGTGAACCACTGCAGTTGTTAAGTTAATAACGTGGTTTTTAACTGGCTTCCCCATTAATTTTGCTTGTCAGATGGTCGCAAAAGCTGATCTCATGACCCTAAGGCGTTGCAACCGTCATAAATATGAACCAGTTGCCAAGCATCTGAATTTTGAACATATGATCAGGATGCCGCAGCAGTCATAAGTGTGAAAAAATGGTCATAAGTTACTTTTTTCGGTGCCATTTCTTACTTTGAACAGTCACTAAAGGAACCGTTGTAAGTTGTGGACTACCTACACAAGGGTTACAATTCCTTTAGAACGAGACAGACATTTTGCCCATCTAAATAAAGCTTTCAGATCTGGTTTTACACACATTTGGTGTGTTTTTTTTTAAATATTTCCCTTTAGATTAAGTTATGGTGGGGGGGAAAGCTTTTAAAAAGTTTTTAAATGAAGGAAATGCTGATGTCCATGGCAGGTGCTTCTTAGACACAGCTGTTTAGGGTCAGGTGTCAAAGGCTTACCTGCTGTGCTTTTCTTTTCCGATGTTAATGTGCTGGTTGGAATTGGCTAAAAAGACCCTCGTGCCGTCCATCTTTCACAGCCTCTCAGCAAACATAGAGCCTTTGCAAACTGCAGGAATCACATACAGGATGGATGGATGTGTGTGTGTGTGTGTGTGTGTGTGTGTGTGTATGTTTTGTACCAGGCTTTGTATCTCGGTATGGCTGCTTTGCTGAAACGATGAGGAGGACTGCCTCGAATCAAAGTCTGTGTTTGCAGCTCAAGGCTCAGGGGGATGAACTAAGCTCACCTCCTCCTCAACTGCTTTGCCAAGTTGCATCAAAATTGCCCTCAGCCGACCATCTAAGATTGGCTGTTTTTGAAGGCGTGGTACTCCTGCCCCAAAGCTTTCCCTGGGTCCCATTAACGTCCTTGGAGGACATGAAGGCCAGGGCTGCTTAACCCCATGTTACTCTTTGACCAGAGTTCCACATTTGAATTTTGGCAGCCTTCCTTGTTAGGGAGGAAAATGCTACTTGAGGCCACAGGTTGTTTTCCAAGCTCTGCTGCCTTGTTTTCATATGTGGGTCTCTTACACAACAGAGCCAGCCTGTTGTGGTGCTGGCTTAGAAACCAGGAGTCAGTGAATTCTAGGCCTGCCCTAGGCAGGAAGGCCAGCTGAGTCATTTTGGGCCTGACACCCGCCCAACCCAACCTACCTCACAGGGTTGTTGTCATGAGGAAAATAGGAGAAGGAGGAGCATTAGTATGCTTACCGCCTTGACCCATATATAAAAAAAGTAAATAAAAAGCCAATAATGATGAGAAAAAATACTGCAGACACGCAGGAGGTAAACAGATGTAATATGTGCATAGCATGATGCTCACTGAGCTGGGCAAAGTGCCAAGTGTTACACAAACATCAAGTTAGTTTTTAACTTACATTGATTTCGGTTTCATCTGTCAAATGGAGGCCTCAATCTCAGCAGATTTGAGGGTTCCCTCCTACACAGCCAAAAATATAGAGTGACCCAAACAGTGTTGATTGTGATTTGAGATTCCTCAGGATGACTGCCCCGGAAAGCATCTTTTCCTTGGCACGATTTTGGATTGACTACTGGCTGTAAAAATCCATTTATTTTCTGCACGTTGTTTTTCAAGGCCAGTAGAACAAATGTTTCATTATGGTTTTGGGACCCTTTGGGACCCTTAACACACAATTTAGTATTTTCCAAATAAGGACTATATTTGCAGCAGAGGTAGTTTCTGGTGTTGCCTGGCCCAATATTTTGCAGTCGTGTAACTTAGTCACAAACTGTTTAAATTTAAAATCTGTAGAGTGGATGGAATATAAGGAAGCTCCCAGCTTAGAGATTACATGCAATTCTAGAGCCAATCCACAATGTTGGAAATTTACCTAGGAACGTGACAGCATGCAGATTTTGAGACTGTAGGGAAATTTTTCTTACTCCATAATACCCCATAAATCCTCATAAGGAATGGCTTTTGAGGAGATAGAAATGGAGTTGATTTGTGAGAAAGGGACTTTCTGAATCAATACATGTCCATCCCTCCATGAAAGGATCCTATATTTATAATAATAGTCCAGTGGTTAAGAAAGGAATAGGATAGGATAGGATAGGATAGGATAGGATAGGATAGGATAGGATAGGATAGGATAGGATAGGATAGGATAGGACAGGACAGGACAGGATAGGACAGAACAGAACAGAACAGAATAGAATAACAGAGTTGGAAGGGACCTTGGAGGTCTTCTAGTCCAACTCCCTACTTAGACAGGAAACCCTACACCATTTCAGACAAATGGTTATCCAACATCTTTTTAAAAACTTCCAGTGTTGGAGCATTCACAGCTTCTGGAACAAGAGACTTAAGCATAGGATTACATCCACCTCTTTTTTGTTAGTTAACCACGTGTGAATACAATTGCAACAACTAGTGGAGCTAGGAAAAAACATTTGGCTTTCCCAAAAACAGACCAGGGCAAATGACAGCCCACAGGCTACATCCAGACCTTTGGCTGTCTCTATCTGGCCAATTTTCCTATTGGTTCGGCCCTCCCCAAAAGTCCCAGTTTCACATGTGGCCCCTTGGTAAAATTAATTGCCTGCCCCTGTTCAGTAAGGTGGATAAAGATCACATTTGGGAGGAATACTAATTAAAAGCGCTGAGAACAGACAAGAAATGATTTGCAATACGAGAATCTTCAAATACAAACACAGTATAGTGGAATGTCCATGAGGCTGGAGTTTCAAAACGTCTTTGCCTTCTGCAAAGAATGTTAGTTTCACAGCTGGCTTTTATCTTCTTGAAGGAGGGGCCGTTACCTTGCAGCCTTACTCCCGAGTCGCCCATGCTGTTGTAGCTGCACGCACGCGCACTTGGCACAGGCTCCTTGGAAACCTCCTCACCACTGCTGCCATCCCCCACAATCTCTGAAGGCAGCAGGTCCACTCCCTAATGGTCCTGGCCCCTCATCTGAGTCCTCGCTCTCCTCAGCCATCCGCACCTGCTGCCAGCTAACCACAACACATACATCACAGTCATATAATGTTTTTCTAAGCAACTGTGAGGATTTGCTTAACAACCAAAGGGGAAATGAAGCTGTAAGTTTATTGTGATCACATGATATTTCACATAGCGATCTTGGCACAGCGATGGAGTTACCTGTCCCAATTTTGGTCCCTGACAAGGATTACTTGTATTTACTTATTTGAATCCTAAATATTCTGAAACTCTTCACCCAATTAAGGTAATGAGATTTCACCCATGAAATGCCCTCCCAACCGACACTAGCTTGGTACTTTCAATTAAGATTGTTTCAATACCAGCTTCCATTTGAACAACTGTTTTCTCAACATTTTAAAAGTCAGGAGTATTTTTAAGAATGGTACTGAATTACTACAAATTGCTATTTAATTCATTGATTGATTGATTGATTGGCGTGTTTGTTTGTTTCCGCGAATAAATGCACTATCTATTCTTAATGTCTCTTCGGTGTTTACAAAAATATAATTAAATAAAACAATGCAGAACACCAGCAGCAGAAAGGATGTTAAGCTCTGAAATGTCAGAGTAAAATTGTTTTCATTTCCCCAAGGCTGTACTTAGGAAGAGGTCCATTTTAATTTGAAAGCCTATTTGTTCCATAATACTTTATAGACCTTGCCATAGAAAAATCAGAATTATAATCTTGCTACCAAGATAGCTAAATCTCCTTGGGTTGAATCTTGTTTAGCGCTTTGGAAGAGAGTAGGAATTTTTTCATGCCTTCTCTGTCAAGTCCAAAAGCTCTCATCAGGTACTCTTCCTGCTTCTTGTCCTCTATCTGTTTTATGAGTATATCTTCTGCTTTTTGGTCCCCGCCCCATTCTTCATCTCTAGGGAATGACAGGAAGTGCTCTAGCATCTTCAGTTCTAAGGTCTGAGTTTTGGTGTGCCTTCCCAGCTCCTGCTGCTACTGGGAACCTGCATGAGGTCTGCTGCAAGGACGTTTGGTTTCCTAGTGATAAAAATGCCAGCACTGCCAGTAGGGGTGGGATTCAAATTTCTTAACAACCAGTTCTGTGGGAATGGCCTAATTTGTGGGTGTAGCTTGGTGGTCACGTGACTGGCTGGGCGTGGATTGTATGTAAATATTGCAAATATATATGTAAAGATTGAATTTTTTATTTAAAAAAAAGAGCAACTTTTACCCAAAATCAGGCAAAGCAGGCAGGTAGATTGAGCTGCTTGCAGAATCACAGATTCACTCAGAGATCTACCTTTCTGCAATCTGCTGCCTGAGTCTGCACTGAAAAATAGAAGCTTCAATCCTAAAGATGGTTCAGCTCTGCTCTCAGGCCACTTCTCCCTCCCCCAACCCCCTGAATACCACCCCTGACTGGGCCTCAGGAAAGCCTCCTGGGTGGAGTGGGTGGGGAGGGGAGGGACAGCCAGTGGTGTAATTTGCCGGTTCTCCGAACTGCGGAGAATTGTAACAATCGGTTCTATAGAACTGGTCCGAACTGGTAGAATCCCACCCCTGACTGCCAGCACTGCTTTCTCTTCACCAAAACCCATCTTCTTGGTTCTCCGTCCGACTTTCCTTTCTTTCATTCTACACCAGGTGAGAGCCTCCTCTTTCTGGTTCCTCACCTCTTTGACGTTGGGCATCCATTGATCAAGAGGTCTCCCTACCTTGCTCCAAACTGATTTTCATGGCCATCATAGGAAGAGGATCCTGCTTTGATCTCTCATTAGCCACAATAGCAATTTAGGGGAAGGCATTTCTCTTAGGACTTGCTATGTTCAGGGACTATGTTCATGGAGTACTTGTGTAACCAAGATTCCTTCATATTTTACTCTTGGAAGGACCAAGAATCCCACAGTCCTACACAGGTGATCCTTGACTTAAGACCACATTTGAGCCCAAAATTTCTGTTGATAAGTGAGACATTTCTCAATTGAGTTTTGCCCCATTTTATGAAATTTCTTACCACAGTTGTTAAATGAATCACTACAGTTGTTAAAATAATAATATGGTTTTTTGACGAAAAAATGGCTTTCTACCTGGAAAAGCTCACCGGAAGCGCTGGCACCGCCATCTTTTTTTGATGAAAACATGCTTCCGGTGAGCTTTCTACCCGGAAAAGCTCACCGGAAGCACTTTTTCATGAAAAAAAGATGGCGGCGCCCAGCAAGCCAGCGGCCCGGTAGGAGTTGTTCCGCGGCCCGGTACCAGTCCGCGGACCGGTGGTTGGGGACCCCTGGTTTAGAGGAGACATGATCCCAAGGTTGATTATAGACTTTAAACAACCAAAGTTAGTTTGTGTTCAGCAACAGTAGGTTTTGAATCTAAATCTATTTATTATCCAGGAAATATAAACATCATTTACTGTATTGAATTGAATTTACATCAGTAATTTCATCTTTCCAGACTACTAACCGAGGTCTCTCCCACATACAGATGTGTCCTATCCACCATTTCCACTGCGTTTAATTTAAGGGCGGGTTCATATTATTAATTGCAAGCCCATCCCCCTGCAAGAACAGAGCAACTGCAGTGAACAATTCTTGCTGTTCTCTCCACTTCTTAAAAAAAAAAAGAATCAAAAGACCCTTTTTATCCAGGAGAAGATCACATCCTGCTGATACCATCTGCCAAAAAGAGGTGTGATTGAAACAAACCTTGAGGAGAGCAATAACAATGCAGATGAAAGAAAACCGATACCAG